CCTTCGTCGACATCTGGATATCCTTGTTTGGTCGTAGCGAGAGCCGTTCCGTCTCTGGAATATGTGCGCAATTTTGGCAAGCCGACTGGCACACCGGCAAAGCGCGTCGCGCCATCTTCGATATCGCAAGGTCCCGATTCCCTATCCACTTCAAGCCCCTCATCCGCCTCCTCCGTGCTATGACTGCTTCCGGTTTTCTCGACTACGACACACTCTCCATCGCTGGCCATTCAGATGAAGGCGGTACCCTGTCCGAGGAACGCTCTATATGCGCTGGCCATGTCTTCTACTACCTCCAGACACTCCCAACATATACCCAAGTCGTCCCCATGAGTGTCTTTTCGGGAGCACATGCCTTGTACGAAAGAATGGAGAAGGATAACCAGCTCGTTTTCGTCAATACTCGGCCGATCACGCTACCCGGAGGCAGTACATTACCAGCTCGCTCTGTAGGGCGTTCGCTGAGCGACGGTGGCGATTATGCTGTCATCCTATGGCAGCATGAGCACTCAGGGTGGAAGGTCATCCTCGAGCTCCTCACAGACTACGTCAACCGCCGGAGGATGCTCTCTGGACCCGGTGCGTCAGCTGCATACCAGGATGTCTCGTTCGGGCGGCGAAACGGACCTCAGGTCAAGGTGATTCGGCTGGAGGATGTAGGCATGGAGACCGACGGCGGGGATGAAGAAGAGACGGTCATGCATTGTTTGGACCTTGTGCGCAGCCTCATCCAGGATAATCCTGCACAGGCGGAGCAGCTCATGCAAGCTCTGGAGACCGGCCCTCCTGTCGTGGCTCACACCATGACGGAGTCCCAACCACCCGATCTTGTGCAGCTGACGACGATGATTCTCGAGGACGCCCTCTCCCAGACCAACCCACGCACCAAAACGCAGCTCCGGCCGAAGTTGATTACCTCTGCGATGAGCGTCCTTTCCGCGTTACTTGCCCTCCCGAACTACTCCAATCGAGTTTGGTTGTACATCAGGTCTACCACGGCTCTTTTCGGCAACGAACGCACGAGTGGTTTCGCATCGAGTGCATTGGCAGCGGAACGTGCAACGGGACAGTACACGATGACTTTGGGGCTTCTCCACCTCGTCAAACAGCTTTTCAAGGAAGCCGCCGCCTCAGTCTTACCAGACAACTCTCGATTCCAGCAGATCAAAGAGGAAGTCCTACTCCGTGCGGTCAGATTCATTCACACCGAAATCTGGGTCGAGCATCTTGGATGGAAATATGCACAGCTGGGCGACAGGTTTGAGATTGGGAAGCGGATAACGTCGTTATATGTCAAGGTCCTGGAACATGCGCCTCCGACGTTGGAAGAACGCCCTTTAGCAGCCCTCAGCCAGGCCATCGTCGATGCGCTCCTCTACAAGGCATCGAGCTCCACCATCAACCCCCTCGTATCATCCATCTCCTCAGGAAACCAGAGCCTCAAAAGCTTGTATGCGTCTCGGCGGTATGGCGATGCACGGCGCCTGGTCTCGCTGCTAGAATCCCACTTGCGCCTCACTTGGCTTGTGCTGACCTACAAGCAGGCGTCAGCTGCGGCTTCACGCCCATGTCTGCTCGAGCAAGCGTTGTGTGCTCGTATCAGTAGTGGGATGAAAACACATGCTTCCAGCCGGACTAAAGTCGACCCTATTGACGTGCTCGCTTTGTACGTTAAGGAGCGCGATGCAGGGACTACAGTGCCTGTCGAGGCCATCCGAGTACTGCATGCTCTTTGCAGATCCTTGTCTGCCCTACAACCTTCTCCCCCGACCATTATCGCTCACCTGTCCAATCCCGAGTCGACCGTGGCGTCCTTTGTCCGCATTGTACAACACCCTTACGAAGATATGGCCTTACGAAATGCGGTGTGGACTTTCATTTCACTTGGGGTGGATAAAGAGCCGGCGCTCGCAGGTCTATTTGTGACTGGCAAATTTAAGTCGTCTGCAGACGGCCTGACGAAGGATAAGGGCAAGGGCAAGGCTGGGGATGAGCCAGACAAAGGGGAGAAGGCAGCAGGGAAGGCGGCGGGGAAGGAGGCGGCTGATAAGAAGGAAGCGGAGAAAAATAAACCTACCAGCGTGCTGGACGTGGCCCGGGATGTACTCTCTAACTGGCGCCATATCTGGGAATTCAATCCGCAGCTCCTTTGCTCTGTTTTACGGTTCCTTGACGTGGTATGGCAGCACGGATTAGAACACAAGTCGGCGTTGCAGCCTATTCGGGACGACGAGAGCTTCTGGGAACAAATTTCGTCAATTGCTTGCGAAGAAATGGGCCCCATGCCGGAGTATGAGACGACTGAATTTGACATGGTCGATGGGGTGAAGCATTCTAACCTCCATGACGTAGTCTCTTCCTACGCCTACAAGATAGCCACTAAATCTCATGCAGTGCATGTCATTGGCCGCGACATCGATATACACCTCCGGATACATGGGAACGGGCCATCGACGAAAAAACCTTCTAGCTTCCTTAAAATCGCCCCACGAATGCGTTCCGAGGAGGAGTTGAATGATCTTGTCTGCGAGGCTGCGCCTAGTTCGTACGACCCCCGCATCTATGACGTCCTCCTCGAGCGGTTAAAGTCGAACTTCCCCGGGTTGACGCTGGAACAGCTGGCGCTTCAGGAGCCGTTGGAGCAGCGAGAGTTTGGCGACAACTTTGCGTTCTCAGTACCATTGCTGCGACGGCGTCTGCTTGCGTATGCAAAGGGTGAAGATTCGATGGATGACAATACCGATACTCTCCTCGAGAAGCAACTGCTGTCGATAAACCTCAACCTCTCGCTATCCCACGCACAAGCTGCCTTGTCGGAATCTTGGCAATCCTTATTCCAACACGTTGTTCCCTACCTGCGGGGAGATGCTGCAGTCCGACCAATCGTTCTAGCAATCTGTGCGACCATCTCCTACGACATTGCGAAAGAAAGACGGTCAGGAGACATGATGGCTACGATTCATGGCCGAAGACTTGCGCTCCTTCTCTCCATGATCGAATTAGCCTGGTTCTCACTATCAGACAAGCCGCCCGAAGTTGCGTCCTTCACTGATCTTCTCCGCAATGTCCATGACATCGTCACCAATGATGCACAATCACCTGCCAAGTCATTCCTTGGGACTGTGTCCGTACCTTTCCATCGAACATTATTGCAGATCATCTACTTCTGCGCACGACACTGTCGCAATTTGGTCAGACGCCCGAAAGGTTTCAATGCAGAGCAGCGGTTAACGGTGACCTCCCTAATGGAGACCTCGCTTACTTTGGTCGTGGATGCCCTCAAACTCGTCTTTGTGTCTGCTCGCTCGCGAGCTGATCCAGAGCTCGATCGCGACATGGAGGTGTTGGTCGCCGTTTTCGAACAGTGCACGCACCTTGACGTCAATCCATCTTCTGCGTTGTGGCTTGCGCGATGTCAAGAAACAGACCTCATCAGGGAAAGTCTGAATCTTTTCGTGCACTGCGATCTCGTTGGCCTCTCGGATCTCCCTCTTCTCCTCGCAAAGAAACGACCACTTTACGCCCCTCACCTCCTAATATTCCATATGGCCCTGGCTAGCATCCCTACCGCAGCTGAACGCCTTGCGAGCGACGGTGTCTTGACAGCCTACAGCAATAATTTCATCAGCGCTGCGATCAGTGCTGGCATGATTGACGTCGTCCTTCCTGAGCTGCCCAATGAACGCAGTCCAGCACATCGAGCCTATTGTTCGATGCTAGCAATTGTTGCAGGCATCATTTCGGCATTGGGGAAGTACAACCATTACTTCGATGCAGATGCAAGCGGTTTCATTCAGTTGTACGGGGAGCAGATCCTCCGCGCGCTCAAGTGGACAATTGGAGATCCAATCACTTTCGCGTTGCTCGAGGAGATCGAGCTAGTGGTCAACGTATTCCAATCCATAGCCCTTAGCGCGCCGTCATCCGCGAGCCAAAACCCCGCAGTGGACAAGGTTTTGAAGACGTTCTCAATCCATGCTCTGCAGCTCCTCCAGCAGCTCAACTATGCCATTACGCATCCAAATCACCTAACCAGCTTGTTTGAGCCTCTCACAACTGAAGAGCGCACCCAGTTCGAGAAAGACTCACCAACGACGGAGCCATTAAAGCGCCCCATGATTGCCCATCTGATCCATCGACTGTATCGGCTTTCAGGCAACATTCTTACAACTCTCATTGCCACCAGTCACGCAGAGGCGATTTTATTGGGGCGACAAGATTCATGGTCTTCCAAAGAGGTGACAGTCCGACCGGTCAGTTTTTTCCAGTGCTTTCTTCCCATATCTTGACCCACTGATGTCTTCATCCTGCAGGACTCCAAGGTGATCCTTAGCGAACCTGCATCCATAGGGACGCTACAAGAATTGGGGACATCTACTCTTGATCTGCTGCGTGAACTCGTCAATAGACCAGCTCACCAAAGCCTAACCGCAAGCACCGCACAAGAGCCGCTAGATGTTCGCGAGGCGGTCCTGACGGCGCGCAAGAACCTGGAGAGTGTTTTGATGTATGCGGTTACCCAGCTCGTATCATCTTTATCTCATCAGCAAGACAATGCTTCTCCCACTGAAGAGGAGGAAAGTATGGCGGTCGATGCGCAACGAGCAGACACTTCCAAGGCGGAGCGACGAACCAATAGGGCTTCGTCGATGACGCTGGGAGAGCGGTTAAGACGGGGCATGACCGGAGAAATGGCGACTGATTTGCAGTCATTACTGAACAAAGCCAAGCCTGTGCTCGCGAAGAGTAATACGGTGTTGGGAAAGGAGGGTGTAGATATTACGCAGGTCCTCTCGAATTTCTTGCACGAGAGAATTAGTGCGTCCACATAGTCATTTGTATTGTTTTCGGGTTGTTAGATTTTCCCTTAATATTCAAAAAGTATTTTATCGATTGGACAGACCTGTTCTAAGAGGCATTATAGCGGAAAAGCGCTCGCTTGGGCTTGGGAAGTGAAAGAAAAATTGGTATTGTCATTTTGTGTTGGAAGCAAAAACTATTGCATTAAGGGGGAATCGAACCCCCGGCGGGTCGAAACGACCGTTGGTGGCAACGACCCAGGTTACCACTACCCCATTAATGCTTGCGTTAGTTATCGTTAACATATTTACCAATACTGACAACACTCTGATGTTGGCCCGCCAGGCGTTTCTCAAGTTCAGCAGTGTAATACCCCAAGTGCGGCGTAGCTGAACTTCCGTTAGGTGTTAATAATCTATCTTGACGGGTTTGCCGTTAGAATTCGCGTTGATACACGTCATGGTCGTTCTCGGCACATACAGCGCGTCACGTCTCCGGCACAACGTTTGGATCAAAATATGTGTATATATGTATTGGCTAGCTTCCATGCGTCCTCATAGCACCATTCTCCTACCTTCCTACTCTACTCAAACACCTAGATGGCCACCCTAGCTGCAATCAAAGCCGCAAATTCGGCCTTTAATCCCGCCTACACCCCCGTAGCCATCATCGTTGGTGGTACTTCTGGCATTGGACAGGGCATTGCGGAGGCATTCGCGCAACACACTAAAGGAAACGCCCACATCGTCCTCATTGGCCGTAACCGTGCCGCTGCGGAGGCCATTATTGCTCAATTTCCTAAACCTACCGAATCAGGCGCCAAGTTCACTCACGAATTCGTGCAATGCGATGTCACGCGCATGAAGAATATCGAGGCGGTGACGAAGGACCTCGTTTCTCGTTTACCGAAAATAAATTTTCTGTTCATGAGCCCAGGCATCATGACGATGAAGGGGAGGAACGAGACGGAGGAGGGCATTGACACGAAGCTTGCGGTTCATTATTACGCTCGGTGGAAATTCATTGACGGTCTGCTTCCTGCCCTCGTCAAAGCCAAAGACGCGGGCGAGGACGCCAAAGTTATGTCGGTCCTCGCTGCTGGGAAGGGTGGCGAAATCAATCTTGATGACCTGGGACTTAAGAAGACCTTTTCTGTAAAGAACGCCGCATTGCAGGCTCCTACATACAACGATCTCATGCTTCAGGTGCGTGTTTCTATATCCTGATACATGGGGCTGCAAATTTAATGTCTGTGCGAACAGGACTATGCTGCGAAGTACCCTTCTCTGACTTTCGCCCACGCATATCCTGGCTTCGTCAGAACATCCCTCGCGACATCTTCCGACTCCACTCTCCTTAAAATTGCGTACCCCATTCTCATGCCCCTCGCGTATCCGTTCTCTACGAGCGCCCGAGACACTGGAGACTACATGCTTCATGGCCTTTTAAGCAACAAGGCAGGCTTTTTCCGTGTCGGATCTCGAGGGGAGGATCTAGGCATGTACAGGTACTTTGGATCGGAGGAGGCGCGGAAGAAATTATGGGAGCATACCGTTAAAGAGGTTTCGTCGACTTGAACAGCTTATGCAACATCCGAGTGGTTCTTCAGTATCAATTAATTTAATGTATATTTATTTTATTTTCTATGAGATGTTGCTGTTCATAGATGAAAATGCTGTTTGGGATGGATTTTTCACTTGACACGCGTCTCTTCGAAAAGATGGACGCGTTGACGGCTCCGAATCCTCCAATCTCAAAAATCGCGGGATCAATATTAAAAATAAATACTTGCTTTTAACCGCGATCATGTCTGCACGTCTCAGTAAGTCTATATCGACTGTACTTAAGCACACATTTGGATAAACGAGCCGCTGCCGACCCAGTTTTCGTCACTGGAAACGCGAACAAGCTTAAGGAGGTCAAGGCCATCCTCTCACAAGGCGGTCACCCGATAGAGATCGATTCACAGGCTCTCGATAGTATGTACTTTCCTTCATCTAGACTGCAATACGGTTGATCGCAACACCATCTTCAGTCCCAGAGATCCAAGGAACAACACAAGAGGTCGCGAAGGACAAATGCCGGAGAGCTGCTGAGCTCGTACGCGTTCTCTGTACCTATGATCTAATCTATTTCCTAACTTATGCACAAACAGACAGGCACGGCTTGTATAACCGAGGACACCGCTCTCTGCTATGAAGCTCTCAATGGGTTACCCGGGCCATATATCAAGCATTTCATGCAGGAAGTCGGACATGAGGGTTTGAACAACCTCCTCGTGGGTTTCCCAACTAAAGACGCGTGGGCGTTGTGCACATTTGCGTATTCGGCTGGTCCAGGTGCGTTTCTACGGGGTCTGCTATGAATTGGTTTCTGATTTGTGATTACTTTTTTGTGATAGGTTGTGAGCCCATCGTCTTTGAAGGGCGTACGGATGGGACGATCGTGCCCTCACGAGGGCCGAAGACCTTTGGATGGGATGCTGTTTTCCAGCCCAAGGGTGAAACTCAGACGTTAGTGGCTGACATCTTCTATTTATCTGCACAACTGACTGTGGCTTTTCGATAGATATGCCGAGATGCCAGCAGAATATAAGAATAAACTGTCGCACCGATACAAGGCTTTGGAAAAGCTTCGCGCCTACCTTCAGTCACTTCCTACAAATTAGGATGAGGATTTTGCTTGATAACGTTATAGACGAGTGCTCATATTTCATTCCAAGATAATTGATGGATATATAAACAACATAGCTTCCTTTAGTTAGAGCTTATACACACAAAGATAGATCGAGTAGTACAACAAGAGATTATAGCTCTAAAAGCCAGTCATCAGGGTCGCGACTCTTGGAAACCCCGAGGATATAACGCACCTTGTACTAAGTTTTACAGCATTAACTGTAACGATCCGCCAATATAGTGGGTCATAATTTGCCCTTGGCAGCTTTCTTCGAGTTCGACCATGGGTTGACAGTAGAATGAACAGCAGAGACGCAAAGTTCACCAGCATTCCAAATCTAGACGAATTTTGGAATGATTTGTCAGTGGAAGTCTATCCATGGCGCTTTACCGCAAACGTAAGGAGGACAAGACGAACACACCTCGCACCGTGCAGAACGCACACGCCCATGAATATACATGGAGGTGGCGACAATTCTCAACTTGTCGCCTCTGTGAATATGAGAAGGGCCAGAGTAAGCGTCAAAAATAACGCGTCAGGTACGCTGTCACGTACACCCGTGCTGGCTGGTGCCATAATAAGTTCATGGACTGAGAGACGCCAGTCCCGTCAATTCCCAATGCGTTTCCAAGGACAACGAGAGACGAAACGGAACACCTGTACGCAGCTCAGCCACCTCCTACATGAGCAGAAATAAGGGAAAACGCACGGATCGATGATATAGGCTGCACAGGCTCCATGCAGCGTCCCAAAGATATTGCACATATCTGCATGAATACCAGGTTAGGATGATGCGCCGATGGCGCAGTGCGGACTACTACATTTAGTAAAGCCTGTGGCGGACCTTTCGTGACCTCTATCTCAAAGATCGCCTCCCCCGTCGGCGTTGGACCGCCTCTATCCAGCACATTGAGTTCGATCAGCTTAATGCGCTGCCCAACGTCCGCTCCGTACGACTTTTCGGGGGTGCTCACGAAATGGGAGAAGATCTGCAAAGCCACGCGCTTCTCTTCTTCGCTAACATTACCCTTGATGCGGGCGGCGGCTTCGGCGTCGGGCTTGTCTCGGGGAACCATTGTATAGACAGGATGGTAACCAGCACAGTCAAGGGGGTTTAAATAAAGCGCCTGGACTTGAATTCTTGAAAACGCGGCTTCCACAATGATCGAATATAGTGATCGAAGTGAGCGCTAGTGCGGTTCGGATAGAACAAGGTTGTCGGTGGCGATACTGCGTGTTGTCGGCTGCTATTTCCGGCGGTCGGCTTTGCTTCCTCCCGGCATCACCTTCAAACTTCATATGCTTCGTCGCGGGTTTGGACGCTAACGACGACGGGCTCGGGCTCGAATTTCTTTCTCTCTTCTTTTGTTTTCGAACACCATGGCATCGTCTGAACCACTTTCCACGTCGGCCTCGGCGAATTACCTTTTCCCAGACGAGGTGATCGCTAAAATAAGGGGAAACGCCTCGCGCGCGGTGAAAGAGGTACCTCTGAAGTGGCTTTCGACCTTCCGGAGACGAAAAGTCAGCTTCGGCGACTCTTTTGCTAATCGGGTCAAAATCGTGGAGGTATCTGTCGTGCAAAACCCAGAAGACGAGGATAGGATAGAGGGCAGGGTCGTTTGCGAAATTGACGTGACGCAAGGTTAGCCAATGACGCCTACTAGAATCACCTAGTAGAGATCGATTTTCTCGCGCCGTCTAACGAGAATTTTGATGTGCCAGATATGCTCAACATGTCGGGATGCTTACATGAAGGGTGTATATTTTTCTTGATTGATGAGTGAGTTTTTTTTTTTACTAGCGTGTTCTCACTGAACCAAATTCGACGGGCGTGTGTAAAGGTGCTCTGTCTGTGCTCTCGCTGTTCTGAACGTGACCGAACAACGCGACTACGAAGTGGGCGTTTCCCAGGCTATCAACACTGTGTACCATAACCCTGCCAAACTGTATGTACTCATCTTTTCTATTTGGGATTGTGATAACCTGACTGTGTTGCAATTTTCAGAGGCGCTAAGCTCAGAGTTGTGAATAGCAGCATGTCGACCGGTCAGGGGATGGGATCATGTCGCACTGAGGTAATTCTTAGCTTGCCTTATTGAACTTGATGCTTACTTACTTTCGCAAAGATTTGGGACGTTGCAAATCATCGTCTGGTTGCTTCTGGGACTCAGTTGCAGATGGTACCGTCTAGGCCACCCCAAAGGAGCTTGTTATGACTGCAGCGCTAG